CATTTCAGGGATAACTTGTGATCGTTTGTCATCCCCATAATGACTTAGGAATATAAGAGCTCTGCTAGGGTAGTCAAAAGAGGATTAGCCTTGATCAGGTGGCACCCCACAGTCGTGATTATAGATGAGTAAGTGTGTGATTCAGACTGGAATCCGACACTCTTTCCCAGTAGGTGCAGTGACTTTGCCTGGGTGGTAGTCGAGGTGGGGGATTTGGGAGAGGTGAGGCAGCGCAGTGTCACAGGAAGAACAGGCCTAGGGGCCGAGTCCTCAGTGAGCCTTTGACTCATTTGGGCACATAATTTCACCACATGGGAGTAACCTTGGCTCTCCCTTCCTCCAGAATCTAGTGGAATATTCATACATAAACTCACAATGACTGGTATAAAGATGCTACCAGAATAGAAGTTGTGATTTACGGTCTCTGCTAAGCCTAAACTTTACAGAGTGCTTTGTTATCGGGAAAGTGGCAAGAAATTCTGTTATTAAAATTGCAACAGAATCAGTTTCTTGATTGCACCAAGAATCAAGCTGGAACTGAAACAGAACTCTCAGATTGTGTGCAGAGAAAGGTAATTTTTTTTCATAGATTAGGTAATTTTTTTAGTTTTCTTTATCTTGCCAAGTGATGAGAACAGTGCAATCCCTAGGGGAGCTCTTGGGGTCATGTTACCCCTGACTTTTCAGTGACGGTTGGAATCACTGTGGATGACTGACAGAGCGCCAGGATTCCAACCCTTTATATCTGACACAAGGACCATTCACAATGGACACAAAGGCCACTATCACATTTTCCCTGGAGGAGGGTGGTGACAAAATGAGGGGTGTGCCCATGTGTGATGTGCTGAGGAGGCGGACAGCAGCTTGCAGATGAGCAGGTTTATTCCATAAGAACTTAGTCTCATTCTGCCTTCTAATAGAGCTAGGCTAAAAAAGGTCCCCTCTCATTGGGTATGGACCGAATCCTGCTAAAGGGTTAACCAGAACTTGTCACCAGCGAAGACGACTGTGTGCAGGGCCAGCCTACGCTAAGTGCAGCCCACCTGTGATGGGGAACAGGCTCTGCTAGGGCAGGTTTCTTTGGCTGGAGTCTGAAAACCTGGCACTTGTATCCTGAAGATGAATGACCTGGCCCAGTCCCGACTAGAGATGTGCATCTCTTATCTCCACTGCTACAGTGTAGGTCTAGGGCGGGGCTCCGGGCACTTCTGCATGCTTGCTGTAGCACTGTGAGGGCTGGCAGATGGCTGGTGTGTCTAATGGAGCTAGCTTAGGGACATAGGCAGCAAAAGCATTGCAAATACATCCAGGCAGGAGAAACTTAACATTAAAAGTGGGCAGGAGAATGGAAGGTAAATGGGTGTTCATATTTGATGTCAAAATATTATCATGTTATGCTATATCAGAAGTGTTTAGAGAGATTTTAGTTTTTTTGGTAACTTAATCATTAATAGAGTATGAAATTCCAACTAAATGGTGTCTAAAATTTTAAGCAGCAGTGTACAGGCAAAGCGCCAACATTTCTTTTTAAAAAAAATATTTATAACATCTAGCATTTTAAAATCAACCAGAAACTAGGCTTGATTCTGTTTAATATTTTCTAAGATTGGACATCTTAAAATAAGTCAATAATGTTTATATTTTATAGCAATTCTGTGTTTCTTCAAAACCATATTTCTGCTGTGATGTTAATGGAATGACTTTATATGGCTTTAATTGTGTTGGTTTAAGTGCTAATGACCACTTTTCAAATTAAAATAGTATTTTGCTGATAGAGATAGACACAGATATGAAATATGAAAGAATAGATAATTTTACCGATTGTAAAGTGTCTATCTCAAGAAAAAAATGTTCTTTTTTTTTTTTAGGGCTGTGGAAAAGTAATTTTTTCAAGAGTCTAAGATAGTTTTCTGTATTTCTGGAGATTGGAACTTGTGCCTATGGAATTTTGGGAGCAGCCTAAGCGCTACCTTTTAGCTTGATTGTGTGCTAGAAAAACTTCATTACCATGTTTTGTGATATGTAATAAATTCAGGGTGCTGTGCTTAAGCTTCATGTCAACTCTAGTTTGGGAACATCTGTTTCCCTCACTCCCAGTCTTGGGGGACAGGCTGACCTAGCCCTACCCAGATCACATGTGAAAGAGTAGAGTCAGTCTCTGACTCTGGCGAAGTGTGTTTGCCTGCCTGAAGCAAGCAGAATATAATCATGATTTCTGATTCTCTGCTTCTGTGTCTGGGAAGAGCGATGCTTTCTCTCCTCCTCTAATGTCTCTTTATAAGTATGTTGTCATTATTTGTCTTTGGAAGTGGCAACTTGGGCCACCTTTCAATCTTCTCCATGATTTATGTTGCAAACAAATTCTCTGTTCCATGTCTGTTCATTGCACTATCTTGTTGACTGAATCCTAATCTCGTGTATCACTGAAGATGTGCTGGAGACAGTTTTTGTTTCTATTATGCAATTATGTTATATGTGTATTTCAGTGAAATGTCAACCCATCAACAGAGGATGATGTTAAAAATTATCCAAATAAATAGTTTTCTATTTCTTTTAATCAGACCTAGTCCAATCAGTTGAATGACAGTAAATAGGATTATATGTTATTTAAACTTGGGAGCATTCCTGGCCCCTACTGCCTTGTAATATGGATTAATGTACCAAATTTATGTGGGGGTGTCAACTTGAGTGCATTATAACCTATGTTTATTTTGTGGAAGCAGCAGCAGGCGTCTCAAACCTTATCTTTTTGTTTGGGAGCCTCAGATATGTTACAGACTTTTCTTCCTAGTAGATCCAAAATCATAAGTAAAGCCCTTGCTTAGTTCACCATCCCTTGACAGTTTACCCTAGGAAGCTCTGAATGAATGAATTGCAGGCTGTTTAACACTGCTGGGTGTGACCTTTCTTCACATTCCTGCAGCTTTGCTATGTAAGAGCTTTTACCAACATAACACGACAGTTGCCTTCTTGATGTTTCCATGAGAATGGCAGGTGGGTCCACCTTAGAACCAAATGACTTCCCAGTCTCAGATAAGAAAACTTGGGGATTCTGAGAGAGGGAGTGTGTGTGTGTGCGTGTGTGTGTGTGTGTGTGTATGCAGGTGTATGCACAAGCATACCTACATGTGCATGTGTGTACATACATGCATCCTGAGCCTGTGATCACAGGGACAGGAGAATGAGAAGCAGGCTCACTGACCACCCCAAGAGCTGTCTTGGTTTGACCCGGGACATGACTGTCTGTCTCCTATAAGATTCCAGCATTCCTAGCCAGGAAGCTTAAAGCTTTCTTTCCAGGCTCTTCCTTCACCCTCAGAATTCACTAAATGGAAAGATCTGCGGCTCGCCCTTCACAGAATGGTTCAAATCAAACCCAGCCTGGTGCCATTTTTAGCAGAATTGTCTCAAAGACTGGGTGGGTGCTTTTATGCACAAGGCTGTTTTTATAAGGGCCTCTTGGGAAGTTCCTGTGTGACTTTACATTCTAAATTAACACCACCGGCACTGGCATTGGCAACTGCATGGGACCAGTTTTGAGCATCCACAGACAGTGGGACCCAGGCCTGATGTATCTGGCCAGACTGCAGCCTCCATTCCCTCCTCCTCCCTAGCCACTGCTGGGCATCTCTTCTACCACGTGCATGTCTCAGGGATGGTCATCATACCTCTCTGTCCCTGACACAGCTGCCTACATGCTACCAGGTGTTGTGGAGGAAGGACGGGGGAGCCATCTCCTCCCCTGAGGACCCGTCACTTAGCCCAATTTTCCTTTGCAAACCACCCTGAGGTTGAAGCATTTGCCTCACAGCCAATGTCTATATGTCCTCCAGGACTTTATGGTTATGGAGCTGTGGGCAGACTGCTGATGAGTGAGGAGGGGCTGCCTGGATACAGGACCCTAGACCCAAGGCAGAGAGGACATGCCTCCTTCAGATGCAGGTCTTTTTGTGGAGGAGGATAAAGTTGCCATATAGTCCCTATTAGTCTTTAACTCAGCATACTGTTTTTCTTCAAATTGGTGGTCAAAACATCATAATTCTCTCAGAGCCGGAGCAGTACCATCTCCCATGTCCCATGCATAAGCATCCTGAAATGCTTCCCTAATGAAGTCGTGAACGATGGAAGGGCTTCTCCTGGGACCTGTCCCAACAGAGAAGGGACCAGAGTGAGGAAGGCAGCTGTGGGGGCCCCAGGGGAGATGCAGAGTATCTGTGAGGGGTCCAGAAGGGTCTCCCGGTAGGGTCTTCCGGTGGGTCTTGCGCTGCCTCCAAAGGCTGATGAGCCACTTTCAATTTGTTATGGTCTTCAAAAAGCAGACCCCGTCACCCCATATTGGTGAGTTCTCAGCCTGCACACAGGCCACAGGCAAGGGTATCCCGATGACCATGGTGGCCGGGTCTGTGTGTGTGTCAGTCTTCTCTGTCATGGTCTGAGTGTGCTGGTGGTTGCAGTATGTTGTGTCACTCACTTGTTCATGGCGTTTTAGCAGAACCAGTGGCCTGAGGGCTGCTTGGTCTGCTCGTGCCTCTGGCGTCTACCCCTAGGCTTCCTCATCCTAGATGCAGCAAGGGAGTCCACATCACCCTCCCTTTAGAACGGCCAGGCTGTGTTCCTTGCCCTCCTCTGGGCTTGAAGAGATAGTGCTCTTGTGGGCGAGCCTACTGAAGACTGTCATTGAGACAGGGGCATAAGCTCTTGGCCTGGTAGACCCTAGCCCTAGTAACCAGGTGGTGTTCCCTGGAAGTGGGGTTATTTGCAAAGGAGGTTACTGGTTTGCAGGCCTCAGGCATCCTACCTAGGACCGTCTTGACCATCCGGATGCCTGACCATACCAACAACCTTTAGACTGCCTTCAGTGACATCAGTCAGTGCCCTGGATTAGCTTTTGGAGAAGCCTTATTCCCCTCTGCTGAATCAGGCAGGAGCAAAGCCAGGACCCAGGCTGGCCCCAGGGCCCACATGTGGTCTAACCTGTTCTGCCATTTTCATTGATCTAGGCGGGATTAAGGACACTGCATGACATTGGGCCAGAAATCCGGCGTGCTATATCGTGTGATTTGCAAGATGACGAGCCTGAGGAAACAAAACGAGAAGAAGATGATGATGTATTCAAAGTAATTATTCCACGCCTAGCTACACACTGGCCACCTGGAAATAGCAGGGCAGGACTCCAGTTTGGGCAGTTAATGATCCACAGAAGAGTCTGGAGAATGCAGCCCAGCCCCCGGGTCTAGAGGGGCTTTCAGACCACACCCGCCTCCTACAGACCCTCCCCATGCATCAGCACCTCTTCTAGGGCCAGGCCAGCTTCTTCCCTGAGCTGACCTACCTTCCCCTCATTGTCTGCTTCTGAGGAGCTCGGCCACAGCCACTGGCCATGTGGATGAGCATCCTGGGTCCTTCAGGAAGCTGCCCATGCTACCCTCCTCCTTCCCGGGCCAGTTCTTTGATCTACCAGCTGGCCCTCAGCCCCCCAGCCCAGACAGCATGCCCACCAGCCAGCCCAGATGGGTATGTCACCCCAACTTGGAGCAACTGGAAGAGCACACTTGAGTGACAGCCGACAGCTTGTTCCCCTGCTCAGGAAATCGGTAACCTTCCTCATCTCGGGGGAACCAACTGCCACACAGTCACATTCACCCTGATCATTGAGACACTCTGATTGTTTTACAGGGATCCTATGGAACTTGCCTAGAATTTGTTTTTCATGTAGAAAAAGTTACCTAACATAGCTAGTCTGCATCAAATACTTGTTAAATTACCTGGTGTTGTCTCCCATTATTTTGCAGAGAAATGGTGCCCTGCTTGGAAACCATGTCAATCATGTTAATAGTGATAGGAGAGATTCCCTTCAGCAGACCAATACCACCCACCGTCCCCTGCATGTCCAAAGGCCTTCAATTCCACCTGCAAGTGATACTGAGAAACCGCTGTTTCCTCCAGCAGGAAATTCGGTGTGTCATAACCATCATAACCATAATTCCATAGGAAAGCAAGTTCCCACTTCAACAAATGCCAATCTCAATAATGCCAATATGTCCAAAGCTGCCCATGGAAAGCGGCCCAGCATTGGGAACCTTGAGCATGTGTCTGAAAATGGGCATCATTCTTCCCACAAGCATGACCGGGAGCCTCAAAGAAGGTCCAGTGTTAAAAGGTAACCTTGATGGTGTGTTTGCAGTTGCTGATGTGGTGCCCTTGTTGCGTCTGGTTCCACAGAGCAAGGCGGGTCTGTCCTCCACGCTCTGGGGCATGGAAGAGGTTCCCCATAGGCATTTGTGTCAGGATCTGTGAGAGCCCTCCAGGACATTGCCACCTTGGACGCTTTCCACGTGATGGACCTCAAGGATAAGGGCCACGTGCCATCTTACATCCTGTAAGGGGGGCCGAGGGGCTTTAAGACACCAGCAGCCACAAAATCCACCCTCCCAATTGTGCTCACATACTCTGTGACAGGGGTTGGTGAATTTTTTTCTCTGAAGGGTCAGTGAGTCCATATTTTAGGCTTTGAGAACCATACAGTCTTACAGCTTCTCAGCTCTGCCATTGCAGTGTGAAATATGTAAGTGAATGGGTGTGAGGCTGTGTCCTGGTAAAATTTCCCCTGTGGTCACTGAAATTTGAACTTCATGTATGCATATGGTGAAATCTTTTTTGTCTTTGGATTTTGTTTATTTTTTCAATCCTTTATAAAAACCATTCCTAGCCCATGGGTCATAGAAGACCAGGTGGCAACACATGTGTGCATGGTGAATCGTGATTTGCTAACCCCTGCTCTAGGAGGTAGCTTGATATTTGCATTGTAAATTTGGTTGGAAATTAACTTTTATCTTCTCCCTCCTTCCCATGTTATGCCTTTCCTGGATAGAACCCGCTATTATGAAACTTACATTAGGTATGTGTTCATTACCTATGCTTCTGTGTTAAATGCTGTGATGGTATGTTACCAGTTGGCCTCTCTGAGTGCTGAGGAATGAGAAACATTTTTTTCCAGCCAGGCTATTAAAGGTTATCATGATTCATGGCTGGGGACTCAGAGGTCAGAAGTCGTCGTTTCTAAGCAAAGGCACCTTCAGATCCGTATCTGTGTTGACCCTGTTGCCATCCAAGGACTGGTGTCCACACACAAGGTGCACCCCATGGGCTGGATCCTGCAGGCCTCACGATGGCACTAGGAGCATGCAGCGTGCACTTACGTGGGCCCCAGCCTGTATGGCTGGAAGCTCTGGCTGCTCTCTGAGGTCAAGCTTCTCATGGGTGCTTTGCAGCATGACCCAAACCTCCTGAAGATCAGGAATGGGATCTTGTCATTTTCCCTGTAGCCCTTAAGATATGTGTAGTATTCTCCACTCCACACTTATTGACCTGAGTTGAATCATGGACAGAATGTTCATTTTGTTGCGGGTGGGGGGAGCACAGGTCTTCTGGTGTCGTGTTATCAAGAGAAGTCGGGAGCCATGTGGGCCCAAGCAGGGTGTGAGAAAGTGGAGAAGTCTGAGGAAGCACCATCCTTCCCTTGGAGTGAGGATCGATGTCACCAAGTCTTCTTCTGAGGACTGAAGCCAGGATGAGCTGGGTTTCAGGGAGGCTTACCACAGTCCTGGGGCAGGGCAGCCTTTGGGAATGTGGTAGACATGTTCTGTGACGGTTTCCCCTGTGGCACTGTATCCAGAACTCGCTCGGCCTTCCTGATTTGATATAGCCAGGAGATCAGTGGCTGGGAAGCTCCTTTGTTCCAGGTTTTGAAGTCACACTGGGCTGGAGCTAGGGGGCTAGAAGGAGAGGAAGGGATCGGAGCAGATGCCCTGGGAGCCCAGGGTCGTCTTCCTGGGGCCGCCAACCACTGTTTGCAGCACTCTAGGTCCATTTTGTTGTTGTTGTTGTTGTTCTATTCTCCAAGTTGCGCCTATTCCTTTGACTCCAAGGCCTCTGGACACAATGGTTTGACACCAACATTGTGCAGGACACTGAGACAGACCCCATCCTGGCACACACACCACAGAGACACACATGACGCCATTGCCAGAAGCCTGAACAGTCCAGTGCCGCTTGAGTCCTGCTTGGGAGGAGTCAGGAGCACCCGGGCAGGGTCACTGGCTGCATGCACAGGTGTGGCTGCAGCAGGAATTATCTGCTGCCTGCCCAGGCTCTCAGATCCTCTGTCCTAACTGCAGGTCTGACTCAGGAGATGAGCAGCTCCCAACTATTTGCCGGGAAGATCCAGAGATACATGGCTACTTCAGGGACCCCCGCTGCTTGGGAGAGCAGGAGTATTTCAGTAGCGAGGAGTGCTACGAGGACGACAGCTCGCCCACCTGGAGCAGGTGAGCTGCTCTGGTTCCTGCAGAGAGCAGGAGGCCGCCCTGCTCTGGTGCTGTGCCTGCTCAGGAAGCCAAGGGCCACCGGCAGCTGCACTTGGGCTTCCCCCAAAAAGCAAAATGGGAGCAGAACCTCTGGGCCACAGGGAGAGCTGGAATTGGAGAGAGCCACAGAGAGGCAGGCTGGGCCTATTCTTTCAGACTTGTTGCCTTATTTCCACCGGGGACCTGTGAGGCTTTTTAGTGAAGGCTCGAGAAACAGGAGCTGGGCCTGCTTCATGGCTGGGTTAACGTCTTCCCGCCACCCCGTCTTTGGAGAGATCAGTTTTTGCTGAATTAACACTGAGAGCTTTGGCGGACCCGGGTCTCTGTGTGTACAGTGGCTGGGTCAGCCCGGAGCTTGGCCAGGGTCCTCATGCACAGCGCCTGTCTCCTGCCCCTTCAGGGGGTCTCTCCTGGAGATGAAGAAACAAGGGGTCACTCAGCAGAGGGGTCTCTCTGGCTTCTGTCCACCAACAAGAATGTTTGTGGTTAGAATGGGCACTCTGCTTTGGGAAGGGCAGCAGGTGGCACAGGCAGATGAAAATCACCTTCTGCTGTCTTCTTGGAACTGCACCTCACTGTGACTAGGGGCCCAGTGAAATGGAAGTGGAATGGCAGTGAGGTGGCATCTGGCATCTGAGCCACAGCCTGACCCTCACCCTCTGCTCCTGTGGCCCTTCCCCATGTCTCCTTCAAATGCCTGACTTCTGGAACCACTGACTCTGAGCCAAATGGATTTGTGTTCCCTTCTTTAGGGCTCTTGCTCACACTGTGGCCGCTGCTTGGATGCCCTCACTCCATCTGCTGGCCTCATCCCACCTCTGAAGGACCTCCTCTAGGACCTTTCATTTTATCTCCATGACTGGGATTGAAGTCTGCCCCCCACACACCCCAGAAAAGAAAACCTCACAGAACCACATGAGTGCCTCTCTTCCAGCATTGGCCCTTTCCAGCTTGCATTCGAGTTCTGTGTGCTCATGGCATTTTCTAAGCCCACCGAGGGTGGGCTCATGCTTCCTGCATCCCTGGTGCCCAGCAGCTGGCAGAGGGCAGGCGCTCAGGAGAGAGGCTCTCACAGAGGGAATGAGTGGGTGAGAGCTTGGCTCACAGGACATCTGTGATCCATGTTTGCCCTGGAGCTGAGGGATGGAAACTCCCAGCACATCCCTCAGTAAAGGCCTTCAGTCCCCAACCTTCCTGTAATGGCCCTTGCTTTCCACCTGGAATCTTCCATGAAACTGAGGTCAGCCTTGTTCTCAGCCAGTTCTACTGTGTCCAAGGGAGGAGGTGGGTGTGGCAGGGCTGAGTGAAGAGCTTGTTACCTAGAACTCTACTGCCCCATCTCTTTTCTGACTGCCAGGCAAAACTATGGCTACTACAGCAGATACCCAGGCAGAAACGTGGACTTTGAGAGGCTCCGAGGCTACCATCAACCCCAAGGTTTCTTGGAGGACGATGACTCGCCCATTTGCTATGATTCACGGAGATCTCCAAGGAGACGCCTACTACCTCCCACCCCAGCATGTGAGGCCAGATTTTTTGTTCATGGGTGGAACCTCCTGGGGAACAGTGTGCTTCTCCCCCAACCCCCGCTCTGGGGGCCAGTGATGGATGTGTGCTGCCAGGTCAGGACCCTTAGTCCTCAAGATAGCCCCAGGCTGGAGAGCATATCTACTTTCCTTTCTTTCTCATCCACATCCCACATGATAGAGTTGCAGCCTCTTCAGTGCTGTGCTTGACTCTCTTCGAAAACAGAGAGGCTGTGAGGGCCCTAAGATTGCATACACACAGCTGGTAAGGGGTGTTTGCATATATAACATTGTCTTTGAACCTGGGACCATCCTGAGAAATAGGCACATCACACACATGCTTTTGCTGTTGTCAGTCCTGCTCCAGTCTGTGATGGGGTGACTGAGCCCTCAAAGGGGAAGAATAGGTTCAGGTGCAGAGCTGGCTGTGCCCCAGGCTTGTCTTGCAAAACTCCACACCTCTGAGGGGCACCTGGGCATTCTGGTGTCCATCTGTCCTCAGGCCTCTCCAGGGCTTATCTTCCCCCTCCATCTTCCCTTCTTCTCCTTCATCTTCCCTCCTCCTCCTTCATCTTCCCTCTTCTTCCTCCTTCACCCTCCCTCCTCTTCCTCCACCTTCCCTCCTCCTCCTCCCTTCTCTTCCCTCCTCCTCCTCCATCTTCCCTCCTCCTCCCTCATCTTCTCCTCATCCTTTCCTCCTCCTCCCTCATCTTCCCTCCTCCTCCCTCATCTTTCCTCCTCCTCCTTCATCTTCCCTCCTCCTACCTCATCTTCCCTCCTCTTCCCCCGTCTTTGCGTCAGGTCTGTCAGTGCCCTCTGCTCATGGTGCAGGTTTTGGACTTGTTGGTCCCCTTCATTCTGGGGCCAGGAAACCCATCCTGCCTAGAGGGGCTGGGGCTGGCTGCCGCCATATGCTTTCCCCCTGCAGTGGTGGATGGCAGGAGCTGGAGGGTCTGGGTCATCCTGAGCGAGGAACTCCAGCTGGGGGAAGAGGTGCAGCCCTGACCCCTTCTAGCTTCTGGATGAGCAGTTTCATTTTGGGCATGTGGGCATTTTGATGATGGTTAAGGACTATCAATTTCTGGAATTTCTGAGGAATGAAACATATTTTTGAGCAGAACTCTAATCAGTAACCAAAAATAGCCATGACACATTGGCTTCCGAGTCTGCCAACTGCATATACTATAAAGAGCACCACTGGGAGGTGCCCAGGGCCCTCTGCCTCAATCCAGCTGTCACAACCCCACTGGGGAGTGTGACCAGGCTCATTTCCATGGTTAATATTTTATTCCTCAGCCCCAAACACATGCTGCTAAATGAAGTTACTTCGTTCCCATGAATAGTAGATGAAGCAGATACAGAGGAGGCCGTGCGGAGGCCCTCACCCCTGTGAGTTCCATTGCCTTCCTCAGGCCTCGGCCTTTGTTGCCAACCTGGCCAATCCAGCAAGTACATGAATCCCACCGGCCACAGTGCTGGAGAGGAGCCTGAGTGGGCAGCAATGGACGTGCTCATGATTCGTAAGGTGGTTTTGCTTTGCTGCCCCGCAGCTCAGACTTTGGGCAGGGAGAACGTTTCACTCTTCTACCTGCATTCTCAGCTGCAGAGGGATTCCCTCCTCCTCCAGAGAGCGTTGTGCAGAGCACACGAGATGGCAGGGATCCATGGAGAAGTTTGGCAATGGAAAAGCACCTCACACGGGAGAGGGTCTGCTGCTCTCTCTCCCAGCTCTCAGATCTGGAAACCTATGCTCCATAGCACAGTTGGCCGCCGGGTGGTGGGTAGAGGGAGGGCTTTCTGATGAGGCAGTGTGTGTGTCCCATGTCGGCAACTGAACAAGGAGGCCCCACAGTGTGTACTGGGTGCAAGAGGCTGGGACTGGCTGTTTCGTTCCTCTCTGCTGGGCAGTGCCTAGCCAAGGGCTCAGCCCGGCCTCTGTGTGCAACGGCACTGTGCCAGGGAGCCCTCTCCCAGCTAGTTCCTGGGCTTTCCAATAGAGGAATGAGAGGCATGTGGAGTTTTGCCAGGGCTTAGAAATGTCCCGTGACCTGAGGAAAGCGCAGTCAAGATAGGAGCCGTAGAAATGCCTATAAACTACAGGTGTGCTCTCGGAGGAGGCCCCTGCAAGGGTAGGAGGTTTCTGGGAGGAGGCTGCTGATTGTGTCCCAGGATTCAGACTGATGTCATGGGCCTGGCGTCCTGTGAAGCTGGGCATTATGGATTGTCTTGTCACGGCTCAGCCTGTGTGTGAGCCTCTGTTGGACGAGCTGTTCGCAGGACAAGCGTGTTCTTAAAGTTAGAGGTGTCCTTTGTCTTCAGTGCTGAATCTTTCCCAGTGAAAAAAAATTTGCTATTACCTGGTCAAACCCACCAGGGCAGGTAAAGTCCTTCCCTTTAAAACAGGTGTAAACACAGGAGCTTTGGCAAGATATCTCAGCCCCTGGGGACACTTAGGGCATCTGGAAGGTGACAGTGGGAAGCATCGTGGGGTTCTGGAAGGACTACGTTCTTGCACTGAAGTGCTGTGCACTCCTCACAGTATGCAGGGCCAGGGCTTCTGACCTAGATCAGTTGCACTATGGGCTGCCTCCGCTCCTCCTCCTGAGAACAGGTGAACATTTAAAAGTAAGAAGTTCGTACCTTTTTTTTTTTTTGGAGACAGTCTCACTCTGTCACTCAGGGTGGAGTGCAGTGGTGCAATCCCAGCTCACTGCAAACTCTGCCTCCTGGGTTCAAGTGATTCTCCAACCTCAGCCTCCCAAGTAGCTGGAACTACAGGCATATGCCACCACACCTGGCTAATTTTTGTAGTTTTAGTAGAGACAGGGTTTCATTATATTTGTCAGTTGACCTCGATCTCTTGACCTCATGATCCACCCTCCTTGGCTTCCCAAAGTGCTGGGTTTATAGGCGTGAGCCACCGCGCCTGGCTGTAAGTTCATACTTTTAAAAACATCCCTCACTGGGGCTTCTTCCTTCATCCTCTCCTCCTGAAGTTTGGAGACCTCACAGCCGAATCTTTCTCTTGGACAAACCACTTGCTTCCTCCTGGGATCCTTGCTGAGCGTTGGGCCACCCTGACTCCAAGAGACAGTGTCCTGGCAGAGAACTTGCTTCACAACTGCATGATGTCCTTTGCTTTCCCAGCCCACCGGAGATCCTCCTTCAACTTTGAGTGCCTGCGCCGGCAGAGCAGCCAGGAAGAGATCCCATCATCTCCCACCTTCTTCCCCCACCGCACGGCCCTGCCTCTGCACCTGATGCAGCAACAGGTGAGCGGCCGCCTGGCCTTGCCCCCATGCCCTGGGGCACCCCACATGAGACCCACCATCAGGTCATGCCCTTCCCCTTGGCCTTAAGCACCAGGAGGGAAGGAGAGAATCTTCACCTACAGTCTGGCTAATCCTTGTAACAATCCTGCCAAATGGCTATGGCCGTGAGCCCCATTCTGCCCAGTCACGCACAAGTGAGTGGCTGCTAGCATTTGAATCCAAGGAGCCAGCTGTCAAAGCTGGCCTCTCTGCCCAGGTACCTCCCGCGACCCCCACCACCTCTTCCTTGTATTGAATACAGAGCCTGATGTGATCTGAGCGCAGGATGTGGGGGCTACTTAGCTGATTCTGAACAGTCAGTGTAGCCCTTGATTTTCGCCAAGAAGTAGTTCCTTTGTTAAAACAAGTTTATGGGTCCCTCCGTGGGCAGGGCCCTGTGGGCACCATGCAGGGTGAACTTGCCCCGCCTACAAAGGGAGCAGTCCAGGGAGAACAATCTGCCCACATTGACGGTGGCTGCACAGATGAGAGAGTGGGGCCAGAGGCCACTCACCAGGGCTTTCCCTTGAGGATAAGAATATGGCAATTTTTCTTTCTGAAAGTGTCACATCAGAGGTGCCATCCATTCGTGCATGATGGGGTGGTGGGCATGGGCCTGTGCTGTTTATAGCGCCCCTCTCTGCAGAGTGTGAACCCCAAGGTGCATCTGCTGTTGTGGGATTGTCAGCCCGGGGCTTGTACTCAGTGCTTTAGCACATGCCAAATGCCGGCTCTAGGATGTGTTACTCCAGAGCAAAGAGAAACAGCTATGTTTTCATGTAAGTGCTGGGAAGCCCTGTAGCTTCCCCTGAATGTACTTCGGTATGTAAGCCCAGCATGAATTGGGTGGTGTGTTCATACCCACAGCTTGTTGGGCTTCCCTGAAGCAATTTCATGAATTAGCAACCGATATCTCCTTGGGAACAGTCATAGAAAATGCATTATGGATTCGGGGAAAAAGAAAGCGTGTGCTAGAAAACCAAGTCGTCACTGGCCATTCACTCAGCATACTTCAGTGTGCCCATGTTCCTTCCAAGCCTGGTCCAGTCCCTGGACTGCCCCTGGAGAGCGCAGCACCCATGCTTGGTCTGTGTGCAGGAGGTTTGAGGCCAGGGCCTCTGGTGTCTCAACACTCCTCTCTCTCCTCAGATTATGGCAGTTGCTGGTTTAGATTCCAGTAAAGCCCAGAAGTACTCACCGAGTCACTCGACCCGGTCGTGGGCCACCCCTCCAGCGACCCCTCCCTACCGGGACTGGACACCATGCTACACTCCCCTGATCCAAGTGGAGCAGTCGGAGGCCCTGGACCAGGTGAACGGCAGCCTGCCATCCCTGCACCGCAGCTCCTGGTATACAGACGAGCCCGATATCTCCTACCGGACTTTCACACCAGCCAGCCTGACCATTCCCAGCAGCTTCCGGAACAAAAACAGTGACAAGCAGAGGAGCGCAGACAGCTTGGTGGAGGCAGTGAGTATGGCTCTTGGTCACAGAGGGCAGGAAGCACCAGGAGCAGCAGAGGTGCAACCACAATAGCAGGAGATGCAGTGGTGGGAGGGTGGCCAGGCTGTGAGCCAGTGTCCCTCAGTCAGACACTTCTGAGCAGCAGGAATGTACCTGAAGCATGAGTTAAAACTGGTCACCACTGCTGGGTGCGGTGGCTCAACCTGTAATCCCAGCACTTTGGGAGGCTGAGGTGCATGGATCACCTGAGGTTAGGAGTTCAATACCAGCCTGGCCAACGTGGTGAAAACGCTTCTCTACTAAAAGTACAAAAGTTATCCTGGTGTGGTGGTGTGTGCTTGTAATCCCAGCTACTCAGGAGACTTCAGCAGGAGAATCGCTTGAACCTGGGAGGTGGAGGCTGTAGTGAGTTGAGATCACGCCACTGCACTCCAGCCTGGGCGACAGAGGGAGACTCTGTCTTAAAAAACAAAAACAAAAACAAAAAAACCCCTAAACACTGGTCACCACCATACAGCTCATAAATGAGCTGTGCTGGCATTATGGGTGCTGTTCCAGCAGTATGTTTCAGTTTATACTAAATGTCTTACCCCAGTGGGTTTCACTCTTGTTGGGCCATGTGTAGTTTTTTAAGCTCCAGGGCATTTTCAAAGTCATTTACATTAATTATGTATGAGCTCCAGAAAACATGATTGAGCCGCATCCCCAAAGCACATGGTGCAGTTAAGTTAGCACTGGAGTTGATTTTTCTGTCCTCTCCCCTGCCCTGCAAAGCCTTATAACACCCCCATGCCGTCCATCCCTCTTTCCTGTACAGGTCCTGATATCTGAAGGCTTGGGACGCTATGCAAGGGACCCAAAATTTGTGTCAGCAACAAAACATGAAATCGCCGATGCCTGTGACCTCACCATCGATGAGATGGAGAGTGCAGCCAGCACCCTGCTTAATGGGAACGTGCGTCCCCGAGCCAACGGGGATGTGGGCTCCCTCTCACACCAGCAGGACTATGAGCTACAGGACTTTGGTCCTGGCTACAGCGATGAAGAGCCAGACCCTGGGAGGGATGAGGAGGACCTGGCCGATGAAATGATATGCATCACCACCTTGTAGCCCCCAGCGAGGGGCAGACTGACTCTGGCCTCAGGTGGGGCGCAGGAGGGCCAGGGGAAAAGTGCCTCATAGTTAGGAAAGTTTAGGCACTAGTTGGGAGTAATATTCAATTAGACTTTGTATAAGAGATGTCATGCCTCAAGAAAGCCATAAACCTGGTAGGAACAGGTCCCGAGTGATGGAGCCTGGCAGAGGACCCTGCCCTCAGCCTCAACTGCAGGAAACAGCAGGCCCCACCCTCTCACAGAGGATGGGTGAGGAGGGCAGACCCGCCCTGCCCCATTGTCCAGATGGGCCCTGCTGTGGAGTCTACTTCTCCCATGTACCGGGGCACCAGGCCCACCCACCTGAAGGCATGGCGGGGGGGCGGGGGAAGGTAAAGGTGATGACGACCATCACACCTGTGTCATTACCTCAGCCATCGGTCTAGCATATCAGACAGTCACTGGGCCCAACATATCCATTTTTAAACCCTTTCCCCCAAATACACTGCGTCCTGGTTCCTGTTTAGCTGTTGAAATACAGCGCGTAAGTCAGAACCCAGCTACCAGCGGTCATTGTAAGGGCAATGGACCTTATAAATAAGGTTTTCTGTGATGTGATGCCAGTTTACATAAGAGAATATCACTCCGATGGTCGGTTTCTGACTGTCATGCTAAGGGCCACTGTAAACTGGAATAATAATGCACTCGCAACCAGGTAAACTTAGATACACTAGTTTAAAATTATAGATTTACTGTACATGACTTGTAATATACTATAATTTGTATTTGTAAAGAGATGGTCTATATTTTGTAATTACTGTACCGTATTTGAACTGCAGCAATATCCATGGGTCCTAATAATTGTAGTTCCCCACTGAAATCTAGAAATTATTAGTATTTTTACTCGGGCTATCCAGAAGTAGAAGAAATAGAGCCAATTCTCATCTATTCAGTGAAAATCCTCTGGGGGTAAAATTTTAAGTTTGAAAGAGCTTGACACTACAGAAATTTTTCTAAAATATTTTGAGTCACTATAAACTGATCTTTCCACAAGATATACCAGATGGCTCTTTGCAGTCTTTTCTTTGGGCAAGAGTTCTACGATTTTGATACTGTACCTTTGAATCCACGGTGGGTTGCAGCTATCTTTGGTTTTGTTTGACGTGAACAACCCTCTGGTAATTACAGAGCAGGTCCAGCTGGCTATTCTGCCCCTAGGGCATCCATAGTTATGGTTTTCTCTGCTGCCCACACAGGGCATTTTTGCATCTCTGGTGCAGAAATGCATAGATGAATGAGGTACAGCTGTTCTTGTCTTCTGGGTACTGGTGGTGCTGCTTTAGAAATAAGGGGTGCTGGGGTAGGGGGAAGGAAGAAGCAACATGGTGATCTATAGGATTGGAATGTCGGGGTCTATACAAATCGTATTGTTGCCTTTTATACATTGCTGTACTGTGTGTTCTCTTTGAGGGCTTTTATATGCAATTGAATGAGGGCTGAAGTTTTCATTAGAATGCACTCACACTCTGATTGTACGTCCTGATGAAAACCCACTTTTGGATAATTAGAACCATCATGGCTTCCTTTTCTGTCAACGGGAGTATGCGGACTATCAAGTTACCTTGGCAGGGATTCCCTGCAATCAAAAAGACAGGTAGCAATTTTGGTCTAAAATTTTTAATAGTATACAGACAACCTGTTAATGGTTTTTGTTTTGTTTTGTTTTGTTTTTGTAAATAACACCACTTTGTTATGAAGACCTTACAGACCTCTTCTTATGACATTCTTATTCTAATCCAGGCAAAAACACTTCAAGGTTTGTAAATGACTCTTTCCTGACATAAATCCTTTTTTATTAAAATGCAAAATGTTCTTCAGAATAAAGCTGTGTAATAATTTTGTTATGTTTGGGAGCTCTCCTCACACAGAGCTGGCGTTTGCCTCTGACAGGGCAGGTAATGTCAGGGCAGGTACTGTCAGGGCAGCTCTGAAATGACTCAGCTCTGATATTCTTTCTTATCCTCCTGGCTCCTTTGGTGCCCATGGTAACCTCATACCAGCTGCAGGGAGCACCGTTTCTCCTAAAGGGCTACACCACTGTCAACATTATCTTGGACACTGTGTCTCTGTTGGGTCTTGGTCTTACTGTGTGGCTTCTCATCCGGCCAAAATTGCCAGACCAGGACCCTGAGTGTGTGGTAGAGGCGATGTTCTTTTCCAAAGTCAGGGCTTAAAAACTGACGTTTTTATAGGCTGCACCACTTCCTAATATCTATCTGCTTTAAGCCTGGTTCAACCTCTCATCGAATATTAAATTTTTCTTTGTAAGAAAAATTTGGAGTTGTAGATCATGTTGTTGTTTTTTTCCTTTGTTTTAGGAAAGTGTTAAGATGAAATGGTTTTCCTTTTTGGTTCCCTCCCCACCTGAAAAATACACATTTTGTGTCCACAAGAATAATATATTTAGTTTCTTTAATCTTGTGTTTTTCATAATCTCACAAAATGTAAATGACAGCTACGATTTCACCGTCAACTGGCATCAAGAACCTCACTGAGAACCGTCTCTGCTCAGCCTGTGGACTCCGACATCCACCCAGACAGCTGGATCGCACTTTGCCAGGTGTCCCTTTCCAGCTCTGTCCTAAGAAGTTTCAGAATTGGGTGAAGGCCAGGCCTGGTGGGCTGTGAGGGCCACGGTACCTCTCGGCGCAGGCCCGCCTTTGTGAAATGGGACCGGGGCACCACTTGCTTTACTACTGACCCTGCTGTGAAAAAAACTGGAGCAGTTTCACCTTGTATACTTATCGGTGTCATAAGTGTCTTTGCCAATTGCATCTCCTACAAAGGTTTTTATTGTTATGATGGGCATCTGGCTGGTTTATAAATACTAGTTAGCAGTAGAGCTGACATCATGCACAGAGCCTCGAATCCCTGACTAGACAACTGATGCCAGGGATGTTTTGTTGAAAAGGTTCTTATTTCTCTAAAACAGTATTTATTCTCCTCTCCTGGGGACTGGGAGGGCAAGAGAGAATGAGGAGCAGTCCTGCGCCCTGGTTCCAACATCAGGAGTGACAGGGTGATCTCGGGGATGTCCTGTGGGGACAGCCTGGGCCACTAAACAGGGCCAGTAGAGATGGGCATTTTAGCTTTAAAAAAATCTGTATTGGAACTGATGTTAAACTGGCTTATCAGTAGAAGCATGAAATCACCTCTAAGTGGTGGGACATGGTTGGCTAGAAAAGAATCTGGTTTTTGTTTTTTTTTTTTTTGGTACACGGGCTGGTGGGAGGGGGCAGTCTCACTCTGTCACCCAGGCTGGAGTGCGGTGGTGCAATCTTGGCTCACTGCTGCCTCTGCCACCCAGGTTCAAGCCATTCTCCTGTCTCAGCCTCCCGAGCAGCTGGGACTACAGGCGTGTGCCACCATCCCCAGCTAATTTTTGTATTTTTAGTAGAGATGTGGTTTCACCATGTTGGCCAGGTGGGTCTTGAACTCCTGGCCTCAAGTAATCCACCCACCTTGGTCTCCCAGAGTGCTGGGATTACAGGTGTGAGCGAAGCCCAGCCAAAAAGAATCTATCTGAATTCGTGGAGATGATGATGCCTGCAACGCACGCTGCAGGCAGAAAGACTAGATGCTTAGGTGCCTACAAGTCCTGCTTCAGGAGCTCACCATCTCTAGTCGGGCTAGCAGATGCTCTTGGCTCCTATGCAGCCCACCCGTCCCCTATTCCATCAGAACAGCCTTCTGCAACAGGTCAGGGCTCCTGAGATCACTCGGCACATGCAGAGCATTCTGTTGTGCTATTTGAACCACTGTTTGCAAAGCACATTTCTGTTTTTTAGGTACTGCAGGCTTTTCCCCAAGGGGCCCGATTCCCTATGAGACCGAAGATGGGGGGACACTCTGTGCACCCCGTTTTGTAGCAAGTTCCTTTCTCCCCATGCCGGCATTCTCAGCTGACAGCCTCTCCTCCTGGGGTGAAAGGCTCCCCTCATGGCAGGGGAACTCTCAGGTTCTGGACATGTGACACTCACCATCTTTTCTTTTGAATCTCATTTCTGTTTATGGCCAAATTGTACGACTGCATAGAACATGACTAAGTATTTCAGAGAGAAGGGCCTGGTGCAACTGAGCAGCACTCCCAATGAGCTCCTCTTACCACATGACAATTTGCTTGTTTTAAAATACAGCCACTGGACTGAACCAACCATGGTCTCACAGGCTGACACACCATGGGACGCAGAGATAGAACTAAATGACTGTCACCCTGCCGTATCCATACGTGTTCCAAAGAAGAAGGGTCAGCAGAGTCATGGCTGGCCCGGGACCATCCCGTTCCCGAGTCCACACATGCTCCAGCAGGAGGGCTGCACGAGGCCCTCCGAGCCCTGGGACTGGCACCTGAACTGCTGTTCCTGTACTCCTGCAGGCAGCCCCGAGACGCAGGTGACTGATGGCCATGGACTGCTGCTGTGGGGCAGATGGGGACCCTCCGTAGGAGAAATAAGTCTTGGCAGATTTAGAATTTTCTTTCTTGATCCTCTCGGAATAAAAAATACAGGTAAGATTAAACAAGAGCTGCTTAAGATTTTTAAAAGGAGAGGTGTGATGGGTTTCTTCCATTCTGCCTTTCTAGAAGGTTTTTCTCAGAAACCTAAGTAGTGGCTGTCAGGCCCCCAATGTCTATAAGCCACCTTAGTACCTTCCGATCCCAGCAAAGCCTGGAATCCCCCAATTCGCTCCTGTCCTTACTCTGGGCCTAGTACAGCGGTTTCCACGTAACACAACTTTTCTTCCCAGCCCTTGACGGTGGATGTCTTTGGAAGAATCCTAGTGCATTTCATGTTCATTACCTCGTCGGATCAGTCTGGAGAAGGCATCTCAGTTCAAATGTAAGTGACTGGATTACTTTATTGAATGGTAAGAAATTTAAAGAGCAAAGAGCTGTTGTAAATGCTACTTGTGTCTTTTTTTCCTCCAAAACTCCAATCTTGAATTTTTCTTTCAGTGGCATTTCTACAGGAACAGGGTGTGCATGGCTGTGCTTAACTGCGCTTAACTACATTTTCCATCCTGGTCTGTTCCTGTGCACGTCTAGAGAATAAGAATTAACCAGCCTTGTCCACTGCTGGGGCAGCTCGGGCTGCCAACTCATTTCCCAAGCCCAATATGAGACAGTCCTTTCTCAGACTAGCTGCTTCAGTAGGAAGCAGTCATCCGGTATGTGGGGTTTGCTCTGGGTTTCTGCATTTCTTGGTGAAAGGAAGCCCTTTTAAAATGTTAAGTCATGAAACCTTTGGTAGTGAAGCCAAGTGGCATTCCCTCCAGATTCCTGTCTCCTTGAATAAGGTCCAAAAAATCTCAGGGTTTTTTTTTTTTTGAGACAGGGTCGGTCTCTCACCCAGGCTGGAGTGCAGTGGTGCGATCAAGGTTCACAGGAGCCTCGACCTCCCGGGCTCAAGCCATCCTCCTGCCTCAGCCTCCCAAGTAGCTGGGACTATAGGTGTACACCAGTATGCCCAGCTAATTTTTTTTTTTTTTTTTTCCCCAGAGACAGGGTTTCACTATGTTGCCCGGGCTGGTATTGAACTCCTGAGCTCAAGTGCTCTTCCCAAAGTGCTGGGATTATAGGTGTGAGCCACTACACCTGGCTCTGGTTTAATAAGAACCAGAGATTCAGAGAGGTGGGCCACAACCCTTTCAGAGTGACCCAGCGGAGCCCCAGTTACCTGCCTGACTCTAAGAGTGAAATTAGGAAGAAAGGGAAAGCCAGTTTTTCTGCCAGCAGGCAACTTTCCCCTCTGATCAGGGACACCAGGGACTTATGTGCCAGCCCAGGCTGAACTAACTACTGTGTGACTCTCTGCCTCAGCTAAAGCTTGCAGCTCAAGGAGGAGGATGCCCCTTCCTTGGTGAACCTGTGCACATCTGGCAGGCACCCAGCTTCTGTGCATGCCCTAGGAAGGAACCACTCCCCTGGGTTAGAGAATGCCACGTGAACACAAGACAAAGGATGCGGCAGGAGTTAACCCTCCTCCCCTGCTGTCCCTCCACGAGGCAGGGAGGAGCATCTCAGCCTGAATGCTGGCCTTCCCCAGCAGCCCACAGGGAAAGTCTGGGGAAAAGGAGCTTGATCCACTGCCCAGTATTTGTCTCATTTCCCAAGAGTTTATCCCATTCTCAGCCACTGAGTAGGGATAAAAGGAGAGGTGTGATAAGCAGCCATTCTCAGCCACCTGGATCCTAGGGTGCTACAGTTTCTGGAAGGAGCCTGGGAGCAAGGGCTGTGCTGGCCCTCTTGGCTCATCAGGGGGCTTCCCCAGTCATCCTCCAGCAGCAACTGTTTAGCGCTGCGTGGCCAGCGTCCTGGGCTTGTAGACAGAGACGTCTTTGTCCCAGAGTGCAGGCCGCCCTTTGATAATGTCAGCTGCCTTCTCTGCAATCATGATGGTGGGGGCGTTCAGGTTGCCACTGACCAGGCTGGGCATGATGGAGGCATCGACAACCCTGAGGTTTTCCACCCCGAGAACCCTTGTCTGCGGATCCACCACGGCGGTGGGATCAGATGGCTGGCCCATCTTACAGGTGCACGAGGGGTGGTAGGCACTGTCGGCTTTTGCCCGCACAAAGGCATCTATCTCTTTATCTGACTGAACATGGCTTCCCGGCTGGAGCTCTTTCCCTCGGAACGGAGTGAAGGCTTCCTGTGCAAAAATTTCTCTGGTGAGCTTCACACACAGACGGAAATCCTTCACGTCAGTTTCTGTTGAGGAGAAGAAACAGGTGAAAACCCCTCCTTTTGCCATGCTGGCCTCACTGGAAGATTCACGGCATGGAGAAGCTCCGTAAGCTGCCTGAGGAGATGGTGTTTGGGGACAAAGTTCAGGGCCTTGGGGGACTGAGCCAGCAGGCTGCTTGTCACCTGCTGGTTAGACTTCATAGCTGGTTAGACTGTACCGTGCAGCTCAAAGGCAGCATCCTACACAGACACAGCCCGCCCAGAGGCCCAGGTTGAAATGAGGGGTCTGACTTACCTGTAGGACAGGGATAAGAACACACAACGCGCCCCTGCCACAGGGTTGCTGTGAGCACCCTGCAGCCATCGCTGGGCAAAACCTGCCCAGTGGACAGTGCTCATTTTTGCTGCATGCAAAGAGGCAGGCCCAGGAATGGAATGTGCTTTTAGAGGCTGCTCAGAGTAATAACAGGAACAATGCTCTAGCTACAGACCTGGCACCCACACGGCGCGGTCTCCCTTACCTCGTGGCAGATTGTTCTGAAAGATGCAAATCTCCCGTGCTGTCTAAAATGAAGCCCTGGGGTTACTTCATGTGTCCCAGGACACGAAAGGGCTGCTGAAGCAAGTTTACAGCCTGAAGTGATGGGGCGGGGGATGACAGAGGAGCACTTTTGTCTTGGAAAGTGTAGTCCAAGGGTATGATTCAGGGACAAGCAGGAACCTCACAAGGCATTCATTTGTTCAAGCCCAGGGCCAGGCAGATGCAGGTGGCTGAATTACCTGTTGACAAGTAGTTGGGCTGGATCACAGGGTGGTCTTGGGGATTGGCACTTCTCAGTTTGAGCCAGCCCACACTTGTGCCCCGCATGGTCCCCACGTGTACCTAGGAGAACACAGAGGAAGCAGTGATGGTCCCTCCACAGACATCCACAGTGACCTCTACCGACCCTGGTTTACCTGCACGGTGGGCCTCTGCTTCCAGAGTCAGTGGGGAGCGGAGGCATGTTAGCATTTGCCCGCATGGTACCCACCTCCACAAAGCGATTACAAACCACCTCGGTGAATCACTCTTTCATCCTGGCCTCATACTCCATGGCTCAAAGCTTTCAGAGATGGTGATCCCAGGGCCAAATCAGCACCCCCATTTGTCCCATTTCTGGCACTCGGGACCTCGTCTCCATGGACCAGTCATACACTTGGCATGCACCACAAAGACTGACTCGCTGGCCTCCCTCCCTGCTCCTCTCTCCACCCAGACATGCTGGACAGCTGGAAGGCAGGGGACAGGCCTCTATGCCCCCAACTCTGCAGCCATGTGGCACCAGGGAGAATGCTGTCTTGGAAAATGAGAGCATCTTCCTTCCTGGATGGTAGGAAGGAAACACCCTGGGGAGCCATGCCTCCTCCCCCTGCTCACCTGGTAAGCCTCCTGCTGGGTGGGGACCCGCCCATGGTCAATCACTTGGGATGGCAGGAAATGGAACTGGATATCCGGGTGGGGGACCCCGGGCTGGCTGCGGATGAACCCACCTGTTTCCAGATGGGCAGTGGCTCCCTCCCCTGAGAAGCAGAAGAGGATGAGGCAGAAGAGCTAGTCAGGACGTGGCAGGTGGGCCAGCTGCTCCTGGCTTCCCTCTTGGTGACTGGACCCAAGTCCTGTCCACATCAGTTTACCCCCTACAGGAGGCTCACCCAGCACCACACCATAAAATGTCAACTATTTGCCTGAAGTGGGGGCATCAGCTCTGCCCTCTACCTGGGCCAATTCTGCCACTGCCAATGCCACCTGCTTTCCTGGCTCTTCCCACCACATAGCACAGCACACACTGCATAGTAGGTGTGTGACAAATACAGGCTGAGTGGATGAGCAGGATTTCAAACTACCATTTCCTGGCCCAGGTGCAGCTAGAAATCAAATGGAAAAGGCTGAAAGATGAATGCTGATTCTGCAGTCTATCCCCAAAGTCTCCTCTCTCCACCTTTTCTCCCGGTTCCTTGGACCTCACCTGCTGTGTAGCACTAGGCCATCCCTGCCCATCTGTAAGGAAGAGCAGCCCCTAAGCCCTGAGGAGTCTCACCTTGAGCAGGCCCTGGGCCAAGCTCCTTGGTACGTGCTATTGCTTCTTGTCCTCGCTTCAACCCGTCAGGTTGAAACTGTGCATCCCCATTTTGAAGATGGAAAGACTGAGACTCAGGGCTAAGGTAAATGGCATAGTTCAGCATCAAACCCAATGTGCAGTGGCCAGAACCCTTGCTCAGCTCCTGAGGAAGGAGGTCTCAATGCTCATAGTCTCATCCCAGGTTACCGATGAGTGTGCTCACCTGTGAATTTCCAGAGCCACTCCAGACCAATGCGGGCCTTCCGCAGGGGCTTCTGTGCTGAATGGAGGGTGATGGGATGGGTGCATGCCTGCTGAATGTAGATCTCCAGGTGGTCTTGCAGGTTCTGGCCAACCCCTGATACGGGAGGCAATAGGTAAGAAAATGGCTACCAAGGGCGCTCAGCTGCTTCTCAATATCCCCCTGGTTTTGAAAAATTCTCCCCTATTCACTTGTCTTCTGGACCGAGCAGGAGCTCGATTTAAAAACTGGTCTCAGTTTAAAGGCTGCTTCCCAGAGACATCATTCTTGCACTCCTGGCCAAGTATGGCCTGCCTCTGATGCTGCCAAGGCTGCCTATCCTTGTCACTTACACCCAGGGCAGCCTCTGGGTGCTCCGTGTCAGCCCTGCTCAGCAGCCCCCTTCATGAGGGCAGGGCCCACACCTTCAGCAGGCACTGTTTGGTTAGCAGTGGCTGCATGGTGATGGCCAGAGGGTCAGAGAGCAGCCCCATCCTCGCCCCAGCGTGGGGAAGGAGGAAGCAGCCCTGTCGTGCTATGCAGCCCTTGCATGAGTTCATCCAAGCCTTTGGGCACACTGGGCAGGTCACTGTCATGAAGCAGCACTTCCCCAAGCCCCTCATGATGAAGCCTAAATGCACAAAGGCCCAGCCCTCCTGGAGTGAGGTTATCAGGAAGGGCAAGAGACAGAGCCTGGCCCTCAAGGGCATCTGAGACAGTTTATAAAATCAAGTTTAGGTCTTAACAGGGAGAGCAGGCTCTGGAGCACTGAGCTGACCTCATTCATGCTCAAGGCAGCCAGTGAGTCCTGTGGATAGAAGGACGAGGCCTGGACCCCTCTCACCATAGAGCTGCCCTGGTGACATGCCCATGGCTGACCCAGTGGGACTTCACGGGCAGATGCTCCCTGCTGCAAGGTGCCCTTCTCCAAGTGAAATAGGATGGCCAGGGAAGAGAGAGGGAAAACAACACAAGGCTTGGGGCCCGGGGTGACAGGGTCCAGTGAGCCTGGGGGACCTTCAGCCTCACGGGGATGACGTGACAGTTCTAAGGAGCACTGACTGCCACCACCTCCCCATTCCATGCTATTAAGATACACTAAGCCATTTGCTGAGCACAGACAGCCCCTGGGGAGCAGTAAAGAAGGGGGCTCACCAGGCAGGTGGCATATCACAGGGATGCCCAGTTTCTTGAGGTCGTCAGCATTCCCGATGCCTGAGAGCATGAGCAGCTGTGGAGAGTTGATGGCACCTCCACTCAGAATCACCTCCTTGCTGGCGTAAGCCTGGAAGAGGCAGAGGTCCGGCCAGGTCACACTCCCCGAAAAGCCAGCTCTTCTCCTGACTCACAGACCAGCGTCCTGCTCTACCCAGCACCATGAGAACACGGCCTTGGGATGTGGAATCCATGTGGCACGCCGGGACACGGCAACTGCTGTACAGCACCTGCTCACAGGCCCCAGAGCCAAGGAGAGGAGGCTCACTGAGTCACTATTTGAAAGCAACCGGCAGGTGTAACTACAGCTAGACGGTAGTGATGGCCTTAACAACAGGAGGGGTCAGCTTACATGAGATAAATGAAAGCAGACATTGAAGTGAGTAGTCTAAAGCAAGAAGTAAACCAGATCTACACGTGAAGGTGCAAAACAATCTGACCCCCTGCCAACAACGCAGAAATATAAAGTATGACCACACATATGGGTTTTAAAACCTCTAGTGTAAACCTATAGTTTCCTGTGAGGTCAGTGCCCTGAAATGGTGCGGAAGGCTCTGAATTAGGCATGCACACAGGGGCACTGACACCACAGGCCCTCTGCAGGTGGTAGGACTGGGGGCTTCCTCACCTCCACCAGCCCACTGCTACCAGCTGCTCAGCCCCCCCATCACAGGTACGAGCATACAGGGCTGGGGGTGAGGGTGTGAGTCCTGCCCCCTCTGAGCTGAACCACCAGGGTCACTGCCCACTCTCTTCTGCCAGGACCCCGCTGCAGTGCACTCACCCTGCAGCTCTGCCCATTCTTGACATAGTCCACGCCCACTGCACGGGTGCCCTCAAATAGCACCCTGCTCACAAGCGTCTGGGCCTCGGCCTTGAGGTTGGTGCGGCTCAGTGCTGGGTGCAGGTAGGCACAGGCCGTGCTCCACCGTTTGCCTGCAGGATGGAGTGTGGTGGTCAGGCACAGCCCCGCCCTCCCCTGGCACCTGGGCAGGAGGAAGGAGCTGGGGAAAGAGTGGATATGCCCAGCTCTGACTGCAAGACCTGCCTTTACAGCTGGGACAGAAAGAACCTGCCCTGCAGAAGTCCACAGCTGCCTGGGGTCCCCTGGACGCAGGTGGAAAAGTACCCTTCACCCTCAAACAGGAAGACACAGAGACCAGGAGCACGGCCAAAGGGCTAAGAGCCTTGAAGAGGCAGGCAGGAGCCCTGGGTCAGCCCTGACTTGCCTCTGCCCTGCTGTGACCACTCAGTGTGCCTCAGTTTGCCCATCTGCAAGTCCCTAGAGGACTTTAGGCTGTCTGTCCAGAGAGCTGATTCTCCATTATCCACACAAACGGGGGCCAGAGGTGCAGAGAACACCGAGATCCCCATCGTGTATCACTCACCGCTCTGGGTTGTATTCTGTTGGGGTGTACTGAGCCACATCCCTTCCCGCTCATGCCAGGCTCAGCGTTCCCATGCCTCCTGGCCATGCTGGAGCCAGGAGCCCGGAGCTTAGGCCGACATGGGCGGGAGCTGGGGTAGGGAGCAGTGCTTTTAAAAAGAGAAAAGACATGTGGATGGGAAGGGAGGCCACACCTTCATGGATGGTCATGTCCATCCAGCCGAAGCCCTCCTGCTGGAAGCCGTTCATGTCCTCAGTGAGCGGGTAGCCAGCCTGCTGCGTTGCCTCCAGGAACGCGCGGTGCAGCGGGTGGTTGGTCTTGCCCCGAGACACCCGCAGCGGACCATCGGCGCCCCGGTACAGGTTGGCGCCCAGCTCGTGGCCCTGCGCCTTGCGGAAGTAGGGCAGGCAGTGCGCGTAGTCCCAGCCGAGGGCGCCTTGGCGCTGCCAGCGCTCGTAGTCCTCGGCGTGCCCGCGGACGTAGACCATGGCGTTGAGGGACGAGGAGCCGCCCCAGACGCGGCCGCGCGGCCAGTACAGCACGCGCCCGTCCAGGCCCGGCTGCGCCTCCGTGTGGTAGCACCAGTTGTACCTGTCGTCGCACAGGTTGGCCACCAGGGCCGCGGGCATGTGGATCTTCCACAAGAGCCGCTTGCTCCCGGCGCGCAGATCCTTGGGCCCCGCCTCCAGCAGCAGCACGCGCTCGGCGGGGTCCTCCGTGAGCCTCCCAGCCAGCACGCAGCCCGCCGAGCCCGCACCCACCACCACGTAGCTGTACTCGTCCCGCATCTCGGAGCTCGCGCTGGCCAGGGTCCGGGCACCTGGGGGCCCCACGGCTCCCCGTGCCAGGGCTCCGGGCCGGCCCAGGCCGCGTAGGAGACACCACATGCTTCTATCTAGCCCAGTCCTCTGATCCACGGAGGGGAATGAGATGACTCAATTCTCCCTAAAACAGGAAAAGAAGCTTTAAAAATCTTAAATCGGCATGCACGTGCAGAATCGGTCCCAAGCTGGGACAGCCACACTGGTGTGGCAAAGCTCCAGGGCATGCTCACCAACGGCCTGCCAGGGCAGGGTGCAGCAAGCCCAGCCTGACGATGGCTGCTCAAAGAAACGAGGAGGAGGAAGTGAGGGGCACACAGGAATTTCAGAACTGTTTTATATGTGCCAGGATGGACAGGCACAGGATGGTGGGTGGGGCAGCAAAAAGGCCCCTCCCCCAACTAAGGGGTAAAATGCTTCCCTGTGCTATGTGTGTGAACCTGGAGACTGGGCAGCAGTCCACCTGCCGGAACGCAGGGGAGCAAAGGGCTTTCCAAGGGGGAGAGAAAACAGGGAACTTGTTCTCATCGTTCGAGACAGCGGGCTCGGCCCCTACCATGTGCTAGCACTGTTTCCTGCCCCACCCGGTTCCTCTAGCAATACAAAGAAAGACATCTACTCTCAAAACTGATGGTTTAGGCCTGGGAGAAGGACAAGACTCAAATAAATAGCTGAAGGAAGATCAGCAGGAGAGGCAGGAGACTGTAGAGCTCAAAGACTTTGACCTGAGGGGGCCATGGGGTACATTAGAGGGGTTTTAAGCAGGGTCAGGGTCAGAGCTACACTCTTCAAAGATCACTCTGTAGAATGCTAGCGTCTTAACACAAAAAATGGCAATAGCTTTGAAAGGGTCCTTTCCTAACAATGTTCAAATCAATCTCCACGTAGTGTACAGAGGTAGAAGAAGAAAACAGGATATGCCATGAAAACTTCCACTAAAAAGAACACCTGATGACGCCCCACCCATGAGGCTCAGACCAACAAGGCCTGCCCAAGACTGAGGCTGAAACACAAGGAAACCCTGATAAATCCCACCATCCCTTCCACAAGCCCTGCACCAAGTAACAGCAGCCTACCACTGGAGTGCAGAGGCTCTTTCTCCTCCTCCTCCCCCGTTGCACAGGCACAGGAGACAGAGGTGGCGGAGCCTCCTGCATGCTATGTCTGAGGCTGCTGGAACACTGAGAAGTACTCTTCGGAACTCCAGGCCCCACACCAGCAGCAAGCAGCAGCCCACCACACCACTCCCCACCCAACAACACTCCACACTAACAACCCAACAGAATGAAAGGCAGGCTCTTTGCTAGGCATACTATTTACCTCAGTCTCCACTATCCCATTACACACAAGGTCTAGCATTCAATAAAAATTTAGGATACTAAAAGCAAGGCAAATAAAGGGCTCCTTATCAAGAGATATAGTAGTCAACAGAAACAGACCAAGGAGTAATGTACCCAGATGTTAGGACCCATCAAAGACTTCACAATAACCAAGGTGAACATTATAAAGCTACAGTTGAAAAGGTGGACAACATACTGAACAGATAGGAAATTTCAGCCAAACATTGAAAACTATAGAAAAAAACCGAAATGCAAGAAAAAATACGATGTTAGAGATGAATACTTTTTAATTGGATACAGCACAGAAAATAATCTGGAAATATAAAGAGAAGAAAGAAAGAAAAAACAAAACAACCAACAACTGTGGGACAATATCAAACTAAAGGATGGATCACTGGAGTCTGAGAGGGAAATAGTGGGGAAGGAGGGCCAGGGGGAAAGAAGAACAGAGAACAAGGGAGGAGAAGTGTTTGCGGAGAGAATTGCTGAGACTTACCCAAAAGTAGTGCAAGACAAAACACTATGGATTTAAGAAGCTTAGAGCATCCCACGCAGGATTAATACAAAGAAAAACACATCTAAGTACATCACAGTTAAGTTGCTGAAACTCCAAAATAAAGAGAAAATCATTAAGTAGCCAGATAAAAAGAAACATATGCAGAGGGATAAATGTAACAGTGACAGCAAACTTCTCAGAAAATATGCAATCCAGAAGATGATGGAGTGACAACTTTAAATACTGAAAGAAAAAAGAACCTCTGCTAGTTTACTGAAATTTAAAAATTATCTATAACCAGGAAATACATCTTTATAAAGTAGATAATTTAGATGAAATGGACTAATTACTTGAAAAATACAAGCTGTCAAACTCACACAAGAAGAAACAGACACTCCGAATAAGCTATATCTATTAAAGAAACTGAATCAATAATTGAGAAAGCACCAAGCTTGACTAAGCTCACTAGTAATTTCTATCAAACATTTAAGGAAAAAATTATACCAGTAATCTACAGTCTCTTCTAGAAGACAGAAACAGAGGAATTACTTCCTGACTCATTCTGTGAGGCTAGCACCATCCTAATACCAAAACCAGACAAAGACATTACAATTAAAAACAAACTACAGGCCATTAATCTTTCATTAACATAGATAAAAATATTAGAAAATTGAATCAAATATGTATAGAAATAATTATATACCACAACCAAGTAGGCTTTATCTCAGGTATGCAAGAGTGGTTCAACATTCAAAAATGAGTTAATGTAATCTATTACATCAACAAGCTGAAAAAGAAAACTCACATGATCATATTAATAGATGCAAAAAAGCATTTGACGAAATTTAACATCCATCAATGATAGAAACTCTTAGTAAACCAATAGTAGAAGGAAACTTCCTCAACTTCGTAAAGAATATCTATAAAAACCCTACAATCATACCTGGTAGTGAAAAGCTCAAAGCTTTCCCACTAACACCACGAACAAGGCAAGGATGTCCTTTGAACCACTCCTTTTCAGTACTGTACTGGAAAAGTCCTATCTAATGCAGTAAGACAAGAAAAGGAAATAAAAGGTATACAGATTGGGAAGGAAGAAATAAAACTGTCTTTGTTTGCTAATAACATGATTATTTATGTAGAAAATCTAAAAGAATAAAAAATTCCTGGAAGTAATAAGCAATTATAGCAAGATTTCAGGATACAAGGTTAATATATAAAAGCCAATTGCTTTCCTACATACTAGCAACAAACAACTGGAATTTGAAATTAAAAACACAATGCCATTTAAATTAGCACCCCAGGCTGGGCACAGTGGCTTATATAACACCAACACTTTGGGAGGCTGAGGTGAGAGGATCACTTGAGGCCAGGAGTTTGAGACCAACCTGGGCAACACAGCAAGACCCCATCTGATACAGTTTGGGTTTGTGTCCCTGTCCAAATTTCATGTCAAATTGTAATCACCAATATTGGAGGAGGTGACTGAATCATGGGGGCAGACTTCCCTCTTACTGTTCTCATGATATTGAGTGAATTCTCACGAGACCTGGTTGTTTAAAAGTGTATAGCACCTCCCCCTCCTCTCTTTCTTCCTCCTGCTGCAGCCATGAAAGACATGCCTGCTTCCCCTTCTGCCATGATTGTAAGTTTCCTGAGGCCTCCCCAGCATGTTTCCTGTAGAGCCTGTAGAACCATGAGCCAATTAAACCTCTTTTCTTATAAATTACCTAGTCTCAGATAGTTCTTTATAGCAATGAGAGAACAGACTAAATACATCATCCCTACAAAAATAAGTAACTAATAAAAAATAAATTAGTTGGGTGTGGTGGTACATACCCGTAGTCCTAGCTACTTGGAAAGATGGCTTGAGGCTGCAGAGAGCTATGACTGAGCCACCACACTCCAGCCTGGACTACTGCACCTCAGCCTATGTGACAGCAAGGCCCTGTCTCTAAACAAATAAGCACCCCAAAGAAATACTTAGGTATAAATCTAACAAAATATGCACAAGATCTATATGAGGAAAACTGTGAAACTCTGATGACATTTAAAAACTAAATAATGGAGATATTTCATGTTTGTGAATAGGAAGGCTCACTATTGTCCAGATGTCAGTTCTTCTCAACCTGATCTACAAATTCAATGCAGTCCCAGTCAAAACCATAGCAAGTTATTTTGTAAATATTAACAAACTGGTTCAAAGTATATATGGAGAGGCAAAAGACTCAGAATGTCCAACATAATACTCAAAGTGAAGAGCAAAGTTGGAGGACTGACATTACCTGACTTCAAGATTTACTATAGAGCTACAGTAAACAAAACAATGTCTTATTGGTGAATAGATCCACGGAATGGAACAGAAAACCCAGAAATAGACCCATACAAATATAGTCAACGGATGTTTGACAAACGAGCAAAGGCAGCACAATAGGAATAACTGGACACACACACACACACACACACACACACACACACACACACACACGCAAAGTAAATACAGACAAAGACCTTATGCCTTGCACAAAAATTAACTCAAAATGGATCACAGACCTAAATGTAAAATATAAAACTATAAAAATCCTAGAAGATAGCACAGGAGAAAGAACACCTAGATGATCTTGGGTTTGATGATAACTTTTTATATTACAACACCAAAGGCACAGTCTATGAAAGAAAGAATTGACAAGCTGGACTTCAATCAAATGTGTGTTTTCTACTTTGCTAAAGACACTGTCAAGAGAATTAAAAGACAAGTCACAGACTAGGAATAAATCTTGGCAAAAGATACATCTTACAAAGGATTACTATGTAAATACACAAATAAATATATTCTTAAAACTCAATAGCAACCTGATTAAAGAATGACCCAAAGACCTTAAAAGACATCTCACCAAAAAAGACAGATGTCAAAGATGCACATGAGAAGATGCCCCACATCCTGTGTCATCAGGAAAATGCAAATTAAAACAGTGAGACAACGCTACATACATATTAGAATGGCCAAAATCCAGACACTGACAACATCAAATGCTGACAGGGATGAGAAGCAACAGGAACTTTCATTCATTGGTGGTGGGAATCCTAAATGGTACAGCCACTTTGGAAGACAGTTTGGTGATTTCTTGTACAAATCAACACACTTTTACCATGTGATCCAGCAACTGTGCTCCTTGGTATCTACCCAAAAGAGCTGAAAAATATGTCCACACAAAAACCAGGAAATAAATATTTATAGCAGTTTTATTCATAATTGCCCAAAGCTGGAAGCAACCAAGACATCCTTCAGTAGGTGAATGGATAAACTGTGGTACATCCAGTCAATGGAATATCATTTAGTGCTAAAAAGAAATGAGCCAGGAAACCATGAAAAAACAAGGAGGAAACTTAAAAGCATATTACTAAGTGAAAGAAGCCAATCAGAAAAGGCTACAAACCATATGAGTTCAAAGATATTACATCCTGGAAAAGGCAAAACTATGGAGACAGTAAAATGATCAATGGTTGTCAGGAGTTCGGAGAGGGATAAACAGGCAGACCACAGAGGATTTTTAGGGCAGGAAACTACTCTGTTTTCTGTATGCTGGTAGATATAGGTCATTATACATTTGTCCAAACCTACAGAATGTACAATACCAAGAGTAAACCCTAATGTAAACTATGGGCTTTAGGTGATAATGATGTGCCAACATAGGTTTATCAGTTGTAATAAATGTACCACTTTGGTGGGAGGATGTTCGTTAATGGGAGGATTATGTACATGTGGGGACAAAGCCTATATGGGAAATCTCTTCACCTTCCTCTCAATTTTGCTGTGAGCCTAAAACCGTCTTTTTAAGGAGTATTTTTAAAATATAATAGAGCCTGACTCCATTTTTGATGTTTGACTACTGACTACTTTCAAGCTCCACCCCTCCCTCTTCCCCTCCTGCCCCATAGCTGGGCAAGTGAATAAAAAAGCCCTGGCATTCCTGCCCCAAGTATCAATGGGGAGGTTCAAATCATACAAATCCAATTCATGTGTGGGACTGTTACCATGACTCCATTCCCTAACCATAATAGAAACCAGGAACACTGGCCCTTTCCTTCACAGACCAGCCATGGCAGACCAGCCTGGGTGCTTGCCCTGGTCTCCCTATGAAGCTCCATTATATGAGCAGTAAACCTTATTGTAGCCACTTGGTGTGTGTGTGATGTCTTCAGTCTCAACTTTCAAACCAACCTTGGGTGGTGGGGGTTGATCCCACCCTCCATGGGCAACCACAAGACAAAACAATACCACTTACAAGAGCATCAGGAAACATGGCATACTTAGTGATAAACTTAAAACATACACAGGACCTATTTACTGAAAACTACAAAATATTGACAGAAGTTAAAGATAGCCTAAATAAATACCATGAACAGGAAGACCCAGTGTTGTTATGATGTCAATTTTCCCCAAATTGATGTATAGATTCGATGCAATGCCAACCTCAGCAGGCTTTTGTGTGTGTGTGTGTGGAAATTGAAATGCCAATTTCAAAAGGTACATAGAAATACAAAGGACATAGAAAAAGTTGTAGTTCAATTGGTCATACGAAGAAACCCCACACAGCTGTGAAAATGAAGGAAACATAGCATCTCACATCATATGAATGAATCCTAAAAATATATTCAGCACACAGAAGGAAAATTACAGGAGGCTGTGGCCTGAATGAGAATTTAGATAGATAGATAGATAGATAGATAGATAGATAGATATAGTCACATATATATGCATATATGTGAAGTTTTAAAACTCGTATTCATATGTGCACCAAATATCGGGGTCCCAAAATATATGAAGCAAACAATGAGAGATTTGAAGGGAGAAATAAACAGTCCTGCAACAATAACTCGTGACTTCAATACTCAGATTCCAATAATGGATGAAAGCCAGAGAGAAGATCAATCAGGAAATAGAGGACTTGAATAACACTATAAACCAGTTGGAGACCTGACAGATATATACAAAACATTCACTACAACAAGAGAATCTACACGTTTTCCAAGTGCACGTGGAACATTCTCCAGGAAAGACCATATGCTAGACAATGCAACAAGTTTTAATACAACTTAAAAGACTGAAGTCTGGGAGGGGAAGAGCAAGATGGCAAAGAGAGGGCTCCATCAATCGCCCCCTCACCCTCCACCCCCACAGGAACGCCAAGTTTGACAACTATCTACACAAAGGGAGCAATTTCATAGCAACCAGAAATCAGGCACCAGCCTGGCCACAGTGGAGGAGAGCACCAGGAGGGCTCTTGGGTTCCCTGATTCCAGGCCTTAGCTCTTAAATGGCCTTTCCGGACCAACCCTGGGCCAGAGGGGAACCCACTGCTCTGAAGGGTGAGTCTCAGGCCTGGCAGCATTCACCACAAGCTGGCTGAGAGCCCTTGAGCCTTAAGTGAATACCGGTGGTATCCTGACAGTACTCCCAGTAGGCCTGTGGTGGTGGCCATGGTGTGAGGCTCCTCTGCCTGTGGAAAGGAAAGGGAACAGTAGAGAGGACTGTGTCACACTGTGTGAGTGCCAGCTCAGCTGCAGTACACTAGAACACAAAGTAGGTTTCTAAGGTTTTTGACTCCAGTCCCTGGCTCCCAGACAGCATCTCTGGACCTGCCTGGGGGTGCGGGGGGTGAAACTTGCCACCCTGAAGGGAAGGCCACAAGCCATCTGGCTTCACTGCTGGCTGACAGTAGAGCCCCAGGGCCTTGTGTAAACATAGGCGGTAGCCATGTAGTGGTTGCAGCATGCCTTGGGCAAGACCCAGTCCTCAGCTGGCTTCAGGTCTGACCCAGCGCAGACACAGTGGTCGTGGCCACAGGGGTGCTTGTGTCACTGTACCTGTAGCTCCAGGCAGCTCAACGCAGAGAGACTCCATTTATTTGTGGGAAAGTAAGGGAAGAGAATAAGAGTCTCTGCCTGGTAATCCAAAGAATTCTTCCAAATCTTGTCCAAGACCACCAAGGCGGTACCTCTGAGAGTCTGCAAGAAGCACAGTGTTCCTGGGCTTGG